CTAGACAGTTTCTCTGGTGACCAAAACCAACAATACACACACACATAAATATCATTCTCACTGTGAAGACTGTAGCCCACTGAGATGTGAAATTTTCTTGAGAGCCTTTCAGTGAATTAATACAAAAATAAATTTAAAAAAAATAATAATTATCAGTCCTCCAGAATGAGACAATATCTTGTTTTATGAATTGTGGGAAGATTTTCTGTGATTTGGGTCTCCAGCTGGGAAGCAGACCTTCAGCTCAGGCGGAAGAAATGACACAGAATGAAGCGAGCTGCCAGAAAGTAGGTTTATTTACAGAAACCAGATGGAGTAATAGTACAGGGATGGTTTTTGGACTAGCTAGTAGTTTCCCAAGGTGAGGGGTCCTGTTCTTATACCCCTCAAGTTATTGAGATTATGATTTGGCTTTTGAAAAAAAAAATGTTCATTTAATTCCATTAGTTTGTGTCTGTTTGGAACGGTAGCGATTAATATTGTCCTTGGGAAATATTTCTTTGTTCATGCAAATGTGTTTCTCTGTATGGTTTACGTCTGTCTTGTTAGTGTTACAAAAGTTCTACCTAAGAAAAGGATTGGGAGCCATTTATTTTTTCTGTGAATTAATAGGTGAAAGGGCAAATTTATTGTGTAAAATAAATAAATAAATAAAAGAAAAGCCTGAAAAATACACCAAATGAACTCTCTTATTTGTTTATTTTATGGAAAATCCCAAATACATTAAATGGAAGCTAACCTGCAAGAAATACTGTTTCAGCTAGACTAGTTAGCTCAACTCACAAAGTAGAACTTAAATCATATAGTGTCAAATACAACCCCTTATTTGAAAAAGAATGATAAATAATTATCTTAGTATTATCCAAAATATATGTATTTTCTTTGCTCTAGGTTATCTGTCATAAAACTAGATAGGGCTTTTCAGTAAGGATTTTGGTGTCTTGAGAAATTACATTCTTTTCAGATCCATTGAGAGAAACTTAAAATCTTCTGGACTGGTGTATGTATTAGTATCTATAATGTTTTAACTGTTTTATATGATCACTAAATATGATAATATGATCCTTTCACTTTGTTTCCACTTCCAGGCCACGGTTTAAAATACCTAGACAAGTTTTTTCTGGTGACTTAAATGCAAAATCTTTCAATAAAATTTCTCAGTTTCACATTGAGTACTCCTACAATTTTCTTGGGCATGTTTCAAGGAATTATTATAGAAATAGAATAAAATAAAAATATCCGGTCTCCAAAGCTGTTTTATATGTTCGCTAAATATGATAATATAATTCCTTCATTTTGTTTTTATTTCCAACAAAGATTTTGAAATA